GCGCCAGAAGGCGGTCTGGCCGCGGAGGAGGCCGTCGAGGCGGCCGTCGTCGTCGGCTAGGGGCAGCAAGATCGCGGCGCCTGCGGGGTTGCGGCGCGTGCCAGTGGAAATGAGTGAGGGTGTGAACACTGCGTCGCAACGGACGCTGCCTCATGGGGGGGCTTGCTAGGGGTTTGGCCAGGGAAGCGGCGTTGGTGCTGTGTGCAGCTTGCCTGCAAACATGCGGCGCCGCAGCTTGCCCATGCCAGACTCGCGGACCACCGGCTCCGCCGCTGCTGCGCTCTCCGACTGAGCAGCTGCCACATTGAGCAAGATGAGCGTTCCCAGCCACGCGGCCACGATCACGAGCGGGCGCATCGAGGTCTCCGCGTGGTTTCGCAAGAACGGTCACGCACGTCAATCATGCCGGAGTCTCGGAGATGCAAAAAACATAGTACACGCAGCTTGTTATGCAGTACCATGCGAGCAGGCCCGCCTGAATCGACGGCGACGCATTCACACGGTCCAAGATGTCGCGGTCAACACCTGCCATGATGGCGCGCGGATGGGGCTCGTCCACGCATTGGAGCCACCCACCTCGGGCACTTCATAGAGCAGGTTCTCTTCGTCAAGCGGCGCGCCGCCGCCGCAGTGCTGCTGCCGGCTGCTCCTGCTGCTGGTGGTCCAGGCGCCACCGCTGCTGCTGCTGGCCCTGCTACTACTTGTCCCGCTGCCACTGGTCCTGCTGCTACTAGTCCTGCTGCTGCTGCTGCTGCTGCTGCCGCCCCTCCTTCGGCGCCGCCAGCAGCTTCACGATCGCCCCCAGGGGCAGCCCGAGCTCCCGTAGGTCGTCCCGCCCCAGCAGCTGCAGCGCCGCCATGTCTACGCGCGCCTCCTCGAAAAGCGGCTGGAACTCGGACAGCCCCAGCGCGTGCAGCAGCCCGGCGACCGACTGGTTGATGCCTGCGGCCCACGCCGGCGCTTGCTGCTTGGGCTGCGGCTCCTCGATTTGGAGGGGTGCTGGCGGCGGCTGCTGTTGCTGCCGAAGCAGCTGCTCACGGGCGCGCTGCTGACTGCTGTCCGGCTGAGCTGTCGGGGGCCTCGCGGCCGCGCTGCCACCAGCAGTCGCTGCCAACAGCACGGCGGCGTCCCGGGCGGCAGCCGCGGCGTCGGCCCCGTCGCTGTCGTCAGGCGCGAGTTCGATCCCGGCTGGCGACGCCCGCAAGGCGTCCACAAACGCCTGCAAATTAGCGCTGAGGCGCCGCTGGTACCTGCGCCAGATTGCGGTGCCGCACACGCCGCCGGTACTGAGCATGGCGCGACACGGGGGCAGGATGATGTGCCCTCCCATCCGCATGCAACATACGGTACCAGTTGCGCCGCTGCATGCGGGCCCACCAGAATGCATGGCAGCTACATGCGGTGGCATACATGCGTATGCATGTTTGATGCTGCGAGGGTCACTGGCCGCACCCACGTGAGTGCGTCGGCGTGCCGCCCGGCGTTCTGCTGCTCGTGCGTCGCGGCGATCAAGGAGTAATTTTCCAGCAGCAGCTGCGCGGCAAGAGAGCGCGTGTTGATACGTGCACATGCAGGTACAGTAGCACATCCATCGAGGAGCAGCGCCCACCATATCGAGAGCATGGCTGTCCTCCACGTCTGGCAGATCAGTTGGCGCCATCACTCTTAAGTACCGATGTGACAGTAATGATTGAATAGAACCTCTGTGTTTGGTAAGACTTTCGCTGACGCTTTTTGTAGGTCGCACATTGTCACGGATTTCGTCTTGCAGGTCCACTAGTTGGATCCCTTCGGTGAAACTGCCAGAATGAAGGTCCAATTGAAAGCAGACCGGCCAGAGTTTCAAATGCACTCGCAGCGGCGAACGGCCATCGCGCTCCTGGCGACGGCGGCAGCAGCGGCAGCGTGCGCAGCTCCGCCCATAGCTATTGCACGCATCGCCACGGAGGAGGTCTTGCGGCAGAAAAGCGTGATTACGACAGGCGGCTTCAATCCCTCGGACGTCCCTGCAGGTAGAGCTCGCGAATGGGCGTGAAAATGACGTGGGCCGGCAGTGGGCGGCGTGATGCAATTGTTGTGTTGTGCAGCCTCCATCCTGCTGATCCCGCCGCCCTCCCTGCCCTCCCCCCACGCCGACCGCTCGTGCAGCCCGGACCGGGCCCCCTCCCGCGCCCCGCGACGCGCCCGCGGAGCCCTCCGGCCGCGGCGCGGACCCGGGGGTGCGCCCCGCAGTGCAGGAGGCCCTCGGGCAGCTGAGGGCGGCGCGGGCGGCGGCCGAGGAGGCGCGGTGGGGCGACGCGCTGCGGGAGTACAGCTCGTTAGTCAACGACCACCCAGACCTAGCATTGGCGACGTATGGGCGCCTCGGCCGCGCGATCATGCTCTATCAAGTGAGCTGTTGTCAGCAAGGACTCGAATTTTCACGGCCATGGTTGGGGCACGCCTGTGCCGGCATGCCGCCCGTGCTCGGATCGGCCGCAGGGTGGCCTTTGCAATATCCACATGAGAGCTTGCGTGCAATGCTTCCCCCGTGCTGGCTGGCGTCGCTGGTCCTTCCTGTCCCAGCCGAGCGACCAAACTTCAACCGCCGCGCACGCCGACAGGCGGGGGAGGTGTCGAAGGCAGTGATACTGCTGGATGAACTTGAGCTCACCGCGCGCGGCACGCCAGAGGTCCACGCAGCACTGGTGGGCAAAGCCAGGGGGATCAGAGGATGCTCGAGCGGCAGGCGAGCAGTCCGCAGTCCTTAGACTCATGGGTTGACCGGTGGTGCATCGAGTGGTGTCGCGAAGCATGAGCTGCTGTCATCGTGGGGGGCTGCTGGCTCGGCACCTTGATGCGAAGGCGCAGATCAGACCGCGGTCTGCTTACAGGCGCCCCCGTCTCGCCATGCAGGCTGCTGTTCTGTGGGCGGAGCGGCCGTCGCAGCGGCTGAGGGCGGAGCAACAGGTGGGCGTTGCGGGCAGGGCCTGCCAGTTGTGTCGCAAGCGCAGTGCTCAGACCCACGTCTGTTCCCTCGCACTGCCGATGACCCCTGATGCCCCCCAGCCACCCCACATGCATCCGTCAAGCACGCCGCCTCGGGCCCCTCCCATCCTGTAACAGTTTGAGATCGCCCTGGAGTTTGACCGGCGCTACTCAGACCTGGCGTACATGCGTGAGCAGCGCCACTGGCCGCCGCGGCTGCTGGCAGCAATGGCGCGCTTCCAGCAGCTGCAGACATGAAATGTAACAAACCCCCTGCAGAAAGACGCACTGCTTCTACCGTGCACATGCGCCCCGACTCCCACATGCGTGCGTGAGGTCTTGGGTTGGCAACGTCAGTCAGCAGCTCACAGTAAGCCGGAAATCGGAGAGCCATTGGGCCCACTGGAAACGGGAGGCTCGCGGTTACTCACGGAACAGTCGCGGGCAAACAATACCTGAGGGCGCCGCAGGTGCGTTCACAGCACCGGCGCGTCGCAGCTCTCAGAGTTCTCTCGCATGCAGGGAATGGGACCAAGGATATGCTTGTGCAGCGATCCAGGGAGCGCTGCGACGCGCCGCGGAATTCCACAGCCCCGCCGCCGCAGCGGCCGTGCGTCCACCGTCCCCCTCTGTTGGACGTTGCGCCAGCTGCCCGCCAGCTTCTCACAGCTGGTCCCAGTCCTCCGAGTCCTTCTTCTTGCTCTTGTTGCTAGCGCTCATGGCACCCTGCAGTGTTGGTTTGAGGGTGTGGAGAGCGCAATTCAAGGGGCTGGATGAGTTGAGCAGTTTGCAATTCACAGCAAAGGCGGGCGCTGACCGTCTTTGCGTTGGATTGGGCAGCGCCTTGAATTCTCCGTGTATGCGTGAGGGTCGGGAATGACTGCCCAGCGATGTGCCCACTCTAGGCACATGAGATTGCTTGGCCCGGCATGCCCGCTGCCACTGCAACGCCTGGCCCCTCCCCCCAACAAAAACCAGCTGCTGCAGCTGGCAGCCCCCGCGCACCCTGACGAAGCTGAACACCAGGCCCGCCAGTGCGGTGAGCAGCAGCAGCTGCAGCAGGCCGCCCAGGGCGGGGAAGGGCATGTAGACGATGGGGCGGAAGCCAAAGCCAAAGCCGCCAAAGCCGCCGAAGGGCGAGAACACCGGGCTAGGCGCAACGACAGTGGTGTTGTAGTGGTTGACAACGCTGGGGCGCCGCGTGGCGCTGGTTCTGGCGGGTTTGGGAGGGGAGGAGAGTGTGCAGCAAGCGGGGATTTTGCCATGAGCTGCATTGGGGGGGGGAGAGCAGCGGAGCCTGCTGTCCAGCCCTGAAGGGATGGCAACACATGAGGCACAGGCGAGTATGGAACGCCAGACCCGGTCATGATGCAAATGTGCATGACGAAAGAGCCGGGCAGCACTAGAAGAGCGGCGCGAGTGCAAGGGCACATGCGCCGCACAGCAACGTGCTCGCCATGACCACCAGGCTGGTCAATTGAGTACTCACGGGCCCATCCTTGACGGAGCCGCCCGCCTCGCCGAGAAACCGCTGCTGCTTGAAACACGACCACCACTCCGAGCAGCAAGTGCATCCTCGGGACGCAGGCCTTGCGCAATCAGCAGGGCTGAGGCCACCACGCACGCCTCAGCGACCTTTCCGACATTCTTCCTGTCCTCCTGTGCCGCCTTGCACAGCACAGGCTGGGCAGCACGACGAGAGGCAGCGGCCCTCAGGCCCGGGGGAGAAACGCGCTGCAGCTGGAGGGCCATTGTGAGTCTAAGAATATACGTATAACGTAGGTGTCGGCAAGGAGTACCTGACCCACGATCATGGGCCACACTGTTCAAGGACCTGGCGCCGACAGCTGCTGGCTGCGTGGTGTGGACTGCAGTCATGCTCTGCGGAGTGGCCAGCGACGCGACGCATCGCGCCAGGGTTGCTGCGCTCACGTACAGCAAGCAATTGAATGGGTCAGAGTGACTGCATATACAGCATATACGTGGGCCATACGGATCGCGCGTGTACCATCCTTCACGCACTCGCAGTGCGTGTGAGTTGAAGAGTGGGCCGCTGATGCTCTGTCACGGCAACAGGCCGGCTGGTGATGCGGTGATGCTGGGGGCGCCCCTTGTACCACAGCGAGAATGCAAGTCCATCACCACAGTGAATGGATACAGGTTTACACATTCACACCGTCGATTGTACGTTGCCTCGGCCCCGCTCATGGTGGGGCACGCTCATATCCGACAGCTCAGGGTTGTGCATCGGATGGGGCAGCGGGCTACTGCCGCGGTCGCCACCCCTGCTGCGACCTCACGCACAGCCTAAGTGCGGTGAGGGCAGCGCAAAGCTCGCGCCATGCCTGCTAATAACACCGGCAGACGTCATGGCACGCAGGTCGGAGGGCGGCGAATCGAGCCGTCCAGCGGCTGGCTGTGGACCCCAGGCATGGCGGGCACACCAGCGGACCCCAGGCGTGAACCACCCACGCCCGTGCCCAACGCAGCGTTCAAAATATCGGCCCCCACGCGTTGAGGATCTTCGAAATCTCCTCGGCCCAGGGGACGCGGTCGTCCTCGCCCCGAGCCACAAACCTGTCGGGGTGGAACCGCACCTTTGCCGCTTTGAGCCCCGCCCGCAGCTCCGCCGCTCCCAGCCGCCGGCCCGCGGGCAGCTCGACCCGCAGCCACCCGAGCAGCTTGCCCAGGTCGCGCGCCCGCACCGCCGCGCCGACGCGCGCCTCGATCTCCGCCTTGGCGCGCGCGCGCAGCGACTCGCGGCGCGCGGCGGCGGCCTCGCGGGCGGCGACTTCGGCGCGGTGCTCCTCCAGGCGCGCGCGCGCGCGCTCCTGCTCGCGCGACGCCGCGGTGGCGCGGCTGCAGGCGTCGGCTGCGAGTGCGGCGTCCTGTTGGGGACCCTTTTGCTGCTGCTGCTGCTGCTGCTGCTGCTGCTGCTGCTGCTGCTGCTGCTGCTGCTGCTGCTGCCGCTGCTCTTGAGGCTGCGGCTGCTGGTGCTGGTGCTGCTCCCCTTCTGCTGGCTGGGACGACCGGCATGTGCGCCCCTGGCCCTCCTGCCGCCACCCCTGGCCGCCACCATCCGGCACAGGGGCAGCCGGGCCCCCGCCGCCCCCACCTTCTCTGCCCTCTTGCGGGGCCCCGCTGCCCGACTGGTGCTCGGCCGATGGAGCCGGGGGGTGAAACTGAGGGTAGTACCCCGCGTACATAGGCGTCGGTGCGCCCTCATCCTGCTGCTCCTGCTGCTCCTGCTGCTGCTGCTGCTGCTGCGGCTGCGGCTGCTGCCGCCGCCGCCGCCGCGTGCCCGCACCTGCAGCCGCGCCTGCGCCGGCGCCCACGCCTGCGCCCGCGCCCGCCCCTGCACTGGCGCCGGCGCGGGCTGGCGGGTGCGTGAGGTTCGGCGGCGGCGGCATGCGGTCCACCACGTGCCTCAGCAGCTGCTGTATACGGTCCATCCGCCCAGCAGCGGTTTCAAATCCGGCGCTGGGATGCACCCGCTGTTGCTCCTGCTGCGGCTGAGGGCGACCAGGCTGTGCGGCTTCTGCCGATGCCGCTTCCGGGCTGCGCTGCCGTTTTGTTGCTGGGTGAGCGTCAGGCTCGCAACACGGGCTGCCGCCAGCCGCGCCGAGAGCGTCCTCAGGCACATGGGGCCCCTTGCCTGCCGCCGCCGCCGCAGGAGGCGCAGCGGCCTCATCGCCAGACAAGTCGATGACGATGCACGCCGGCTCCTCTCGGCCGCCGTGCGGCTGCCGCGGCTGCACCCGCGGCCGCCACCGCCGTTGCTGCCGTCGCTGCTCCGGATGCTGCTGTCGCGGCTGCGGCTGCGGGTGGGGCTGCTGCTGCTTCTGCTTCTCCTGCTGCTGCTGCTGCTGCTGTTGCTGCTGCTGCTGCTGCTGCTGCTGATGATGATGATGATCATCCGTCACAGGGCCGTGCGTGTGCGCCTGAGCCTCTGGCTGCTCCTCGCCGTTTGACACTCGCGGATGCTGCTGCGCCGACGGCGCGCGCGTAGGCGTCCCCCCTTGCTTGCCCTCAGGCGCCTCCTCCGAATGACCCAAGCCCTGCTGTTCTGCTCGAGGCTGCCGCGGGTGGGAATGCACATCCATCACGTCCTCTTCCACCACCTCCTCCACCCCATCCTCCACCTGCCCCTCCTCTTCTTGCACCTCCATCCCCTCCACCTCCACCGCTTGCGGTTCTCCCGCCATTTCCTGGCCTCCTCCTTGCCGTACGCCCCCCTCATCCCCCAGCTCCTGCTCCCGCTGCCGCGGCGGCGGTTGCTGGTCCAACCCTGGGCCACCCGCAGCACCGCTACGAGCAGATGGGCTCCCGCTGTGGCTGCTCGGCGGCGAGCCGCCGGCAGCAGCCTCGTCCGCCTGCCCGCGGCGCCCGGCGCCGCTTGCCCCAGCACCGCTGTCGATGCTGCTGCGGGGCGAGCCTCCGGCCAGGCGCTTGCGCGCCAGAATGCCCGCCTTTGTGCGCATGACGCCTGGGAATGCAGCCGGGGGTGGCTTGTGCTGCTGCTCCTGCTGCTGGTGCTGTTGCTTCTGCTGCTGCTCCTGCTCCTGCTCTTGCTGCTGCTCCTGCTGCCGCCGCCATTGCTCCCCGTGCTGCTGTTGCTCCTCATGCAGCTGCAGCGGCTTCCCGGCATGGGGGGGTGACGCAGTATGCATGCACCGCCCCGGCGCCGCATCCAAGGTGGTGTCGGCGACCCTTTTGCGAGACAGCCGCCGCCCCATACCCGCGATGCGGCGAGCCAAGGGCACATCTTCAGCAGAGTCGCTGCAGTCCGAGGCAGCAGCCGCCTTGGCTTCCGCGGCGGCAGGCGGCGAGGGGCACCGCTCGCTGCCCGGCGCCGCGCCCCTCAGCTGCGCCAAGAGGTCCACTAACGGGATATTCTCTGCTGTGTCGGCTTCGACCGCGCCTTCCAAGACGTAGTCGTGTTCCTCTCGACCTGCAGGCTTCGCTTCGCCGCAGGACGGCTGGCTGCCCCGCATTACCGCGGCCAGCCGCTGCCGCATTGCCGCCTTGCGCCGCGCAAGCGGTTCGTCCTCTTCCTGCTCAAAGGCTCGCTCCTCCATCTCCTGCCGTTGCTGCTGACAGGGTGGCAAATGCGGGTGCGTCAATGGTCGGCGCTGCTGCTGCTGCTGCTGCTGCTCCTGCTGCTGCTCCTGCTGTTGCTCCTGCTGTTGCTCCTGCTGCTGCCCCTGCTGCTGCTGCTGTTGCTGCTGCTGTGGAGACGTCAGCGGCGGCGCCGCCGGCGCCAGCGGCGCGTGGTCCTGCTCCTCGTGTCGTTGTTCTTTGTGCTGCTGCTGCTCCTCATGTTGCTGCTGCTGCGGCAACAGCGGCGGCGGCGGCGGCGGCGGCGGCAGCTGCTGATGCTGTGGTGGTGGCGGCGATGGCGGCAGATGCGGCTCCTGCACCTGCTGTTGCTGTGAAGATGGAAACGGCAAGTGCTGATGCTGGTCGTGTGGTCGTTGCTGGTGCTGATGCTGCTGCTGCTGCTGCCGCTGCTGCTGCTGTGGTGGTGGTGCCGGGTCTGGTTTGTGTTGCGGTGACAGGCACGGCTGCTGTGGCAAACTTGCAGCACCCAGCAGCTCTCCAGTTTGCTGCAAAGGCTGCGCCAGCCGGGGCGGCAGCGTGTGCACCGCTGGTGCGGCGCTGGTCGCCACTGCAGGAGCACCAGCGGGTGCGGCCTCGCCGGCTGCCATGCCTGGAGAGATCCCCGTCCAGGTGGGTTCGGCAAACCAAAGGCATGGTGCGGCACGCAGCTTGGCCAGCTCCCGGCCGATAGCTGCCAGCCGGTCGCCCGACGCCTTGAGCTGGGAGCGCAGCTCAGCCCTGTCAGCCTGCTGTGCATGGCGGGACATCATGTGTGGAGGGACGTCGTGCGCACTCTCTGCCGCCAGGGATGGCTGGCTCGTGCTCACCTACAGTACCCAAGCACAGCAGCGCAGCGCACGACTTGCGGAGTGGAGCACATGGCGCACCTGCACCGCCATCGGCATGTCATCTTGTAACGCAAGCGGTTCCTCGTGCCGTGTCAAGCCCCTGCACATCATGCGTGGGGCTGCTGTACGAAAGCATCGCAATTGAAATCCACGAGCTTGGCTGGTGAGGGCTCGCGTATGCTGGACAGTTGCTGGCTTTAACGATTTCTATTTACGTGTCGCCGTGTTGGGCAAGATCATCGCCGTGCAGTGGGTGACACTGGTGCCTGCGCTCAAATCGTGTGAAGTTGAGAAGTGTGCGTGTGCGCCGTGCAAGCTGCAGGAGACGAATTTGTGCAACCTTTGCAGCATCACAGGGAAAGAATCAAGAAATTGTAGCACGGAGGGTTTTACATTGCATCAGATGCATGGAATGGGCATGCCGTGCCCCATGATGCCCCTTGTTTTGGTCATACCTTGCCTTGACCACCGTCTGCACTACAGACTTTGTGCCCCATGTGGCAGCGGTGAAGCAGCAACCAGAATGCCAAAACATGACCTGCATTTCTAGGATCACTTGCGCTTGTGCAGGGCTCTGGGCTAGGGCAATATGAGGAAGAGCCTTGGCTGATGTTGGTAAGGGCCGGGCTCATGTAGCCTCGGGACGTTTACTCTTGCGCGCACAGGCACAATTAGATGATGAAGTAAGAGTATATCCAAATCATTGCACTCTGCAAGCCCTGCATCGCTGCCCCAGGCCGTCGCCACCAACCGCCTAATCGATGCTTTGGGCGCCACCAGTGCGACTTGCCCGCGTCGCCTAACGGCACCATGACCACACCTGGTCAGGTGCTATCGGACAGCAGTTCGCCACTCCCTTGAACTCACATTGGCCTTATATGATATGCACGACACACATCCAGCAGCTCTTCTCTGGTCGCCAACGCAAAACAAGGACCCGAAGTAACAGACAACTCCAGGGCCCATGCTGACGGGTCCTGGATCCGGAAAATGGTGGCTCTGAGCCAGGCTCGCGTGAGTTCCAGCGGGACGGGGTTTGGACGTGCCAGCTATGATTCGGCGCGCCGGCTCCACCCGTATCAGGCGTCTAGACGGCCCGCGGTCACCATACATATAGAGAGTGCTACAGTTTCATTCATGGAACAGCCCCGCTAGCGACAACTGCCACTGCCCACACGCTCGTAGGGACTGCTGGCCGATGTCACTGTGCCAGCCCATGCGGCGGCGCCGCCCACTGCCCAGGCCGCCCCGCGCGACTCGGTGCTCAGCGACGACGTATTTGGTGACCTGGAGCTCGCTGACGCCCCAGAGAGCGCGAGCATCAGCGCCGCCGCCGCAACCGCCGTCCGATTCCTCGCTGACGCCACGGTTTCAAGCACAGCTGGCCGCCAAGCTCCCGAGGTGGTCCCGGATGACGAGGCCGCCGCCGCGCAGAAAAAGGCGGGGCCTCCGTCGTCTCGGCTTGTCGACGGCGACGGGGAAGCTGTGGAGAAGCTGCAGCGGCTGCTGGTGGAGTCGTCGCCGTTCGTCTTGCAGGTGGGGAGAGAGCAGCATGGGCTGTCGCTGCGGCGAGCACGCCCTCAATTTGCAGGACCCATTTTTTGCGCCCCGTCACGCGCAGCGGATGCTGAACCGCCTGAGCCACCCGCCAGAGCTGGTGCCCCTTGATCCGCCCCACAAGTCACACGTCCCCACCTGCGCCCTCCGATCGTCCCTCGCCCTGCACCTCCGCAGCTCACAAGCCTGGTCGCCAGTCTGCGGGACATCCACACCCGCCCCGCCCCGCCAACCGCGCCCGTGCTGCCCTCGCCGTCCCCAACGCCCCCTGAGCCCGCGCCGCTGCCTGCCGCCCCACATACTTCCAGCCCCGCCGCCGTCGCGTGCAACGAAAGCACGGACTTGCCCAGCGGCGGCGGCAGCTGCGGCGGCGGCAGGGGCGACAACGCGACAACGAACGGGATTTGCTGCGGCGACGAGGTCGATATCGAGGCCATCACATGCGCCCTGTTATCAGAGGGCTACTTGGTCCAGCTCCGCTGCGACGCGGCCGGCGGCGAGCGCCCGCGCGACGCGCGCCGCTGCCTGCAGCAGCTGCGCCACAGCTTCGTCGTCTGCCTGGGCGGCCCGGCCGCCCCGACGCCCCGCTCGGGCGGCGCCGTGGCGGGCGCGGTCGCGGACGGGGGCGCTGCGGCGGCGGCTTCCGAGTACCTTCCCGCCCCCTTGGTCATTGAGCCGCGCTTCCGCGACCAGTTCGTCATCGCCCACCCGACGGCCGCATACGCGTCGCTGCTCGCCGCCGCGCCGCCCTGCTTCGTCGGATCCGCGGCCAAGCTGGAGGCCGTAGTGTCGCACCTCGCCGATGAGATGGCCGCGGCGTTCACGCAGCGGCGCCACGGCGCGGTGCCGCCGTGGCGGACGCGCGCCGCGATGCTTTCGAAGTGGGGCCCGCAGCAGCTCGCGGCGCTGGCGGCCAAGATGCCCGGCGCACGTGAGGGCGGGGGCGGCGTCGGGGGTGACGGCGCGGCTGCTGCGGAGGTGGCGGCGTGGCTGCCTGAGGCGAGCGTCCTCGATGGCAGCGTGGGCGGCCGCGGCGCCCCGCTGAGCCCTCACGGGGCCGCGGGCGGCGCCTGGCGCGCAGCGGCGCATGCGCGAGAGCAGCAGTTGGCGCTACAGCCGAGGATCTACCAGATCTTGGCCTCAGCAGCCGCAGCTGGGCCCCTCAGACCATCCCCCACGCCCGCCGGCGAGGGCCCGGCCGCCTGCCCCGGCGCCACTACCACCGCCGGCACCGCGGCGCCCCCGCCCGCGCCGGCCGCCGTCGCGGCGCTGCAGGCTGCTGACGCGTCGTCCCTGGGGCGGGCGCTCCAAGCGCTGACGGCCGCGTTCGGCGGCGCGGCCCGCGGCCTCTCCTGCGCGGGCGGCGGCAGCGTCATGGCGCAGCCGCAGGGCGCCCAGCCGGCGGCGCTCCGCTTCTCCCGCAAGGCCAGCTACGAGTGGTGCGAGCGGCGCCAGGGCTCGGGCAAGGCGCGTTCCCTGCTGGCCGCGGCCCTGCAGACGTCTGCCGGCGCCGGCTGCGGCGCGGCTGACGGCAGCGGCGCGGGCGGCCGCGGCGCACAGCAGGCGGAGGCGCGGCCCGCGATCCGCGTTGTGCAGAATGAGGTTGGGTGGAGCCAGATTACGACAGTCCGATGGGGGGCGTACCACCAGGCCGGAGCGAAATTGCTGAGTCAGTAGCCGGCGCAGCAGCAGCCGGCGGCAACGGGCGCATCGCCGGCGGCGGCGCCGCCGCCGCTGCCGCCGCTGCCAGGCGGTTCGTTCTTTTGAGAACGTTGCTGCAACAGACAGGGCCCCAGTACTTGTGCTCACGGCACACCGGCGCGACACATGCGTACGCTGCCTGCAGCGCCGGCAGTGCCGCGCCGCCGCGCAGGGCGTCAGGTTGGGGTCAAGGCGGCGACCCGGTCATGCAGCCCTGTGCGCCGGCCGCTCCCACTGGCCCTGCGTCGCTGATGGATGCTCACGCACGCGCGGCTCTGCCGGGCAGGGCCGGGCTCCTTCCAAGGATTGACGTCATGGATCACTGTGATAGCTAATGGAGGGGTGCGGCTGCCTCCCTCTCAATTGGCGCTGCGCCGCAACATTGCACCGGCCCGTCAGGCCGGTCCTCTCTCGCCGGGCGCCGCCACCCACCTGGGCCTCGCATCGATACTGGGAAGATCCGTCGAGAGGCAGACCCACCCCTAGCCTGCGCTTTGAGGGCTGTGCAACTGCCTGCAATAGGCCCGCCACTTGGGCTTCAAGACTCCCCTCCGCTTTCCATACCCGCACGGCCGCACGGCGTTGCTCGCCGCGCATGTGTGTGTGCGTTGCCCCGCGCTCGCCGCGCTGCGCCGGCCCCCAGGGACATTGAGTCCCAGCCTGCGGCGGCCCGCGCCCCTTGCGGCGCTATCCGTCAGCCTCAGTTGCTGCCGTCGCCGCCCCCTGCGGCGCCGGCCCCCTTTCGTTCCTGCCTCTCGCACTGTCCCTGCACAAACCCGTCCCGGGCAGCACCGCTCTTAGGGAGAACGTTTCAGGGCCGCGGGCCGCGGGCCGCCCCTCCAGCTGCAGCTGCCGGCAAGCTTCACCCTCCCGGAGCGGCGCATTCGGAGAGGGCGCGGCGCCGCAAGGCGTGCAGTACGCGATGCCGTCGCTCGGGGTCGAGTGCCGGCCTGTCACACACGGCACGGGGCCCCGAAAGATTGGCGAAGTCACTCAGGCCGTTTGTTGGGAAACTTTTATTGGCATGGGAGCACTGGTCCTTGGCGGCAAGCCGGCTTGCTCACAGCCCATCAGGATTAGTAGGATCTGCCGCGTTGGGCACTATTCTGTTGCCAGTTGGATGTGCCGCCTCCGCTCGCACCCTCGCATCTCGTCATTTGCAGCCGCGCGCTGCTCACTGTTTCCCGGCCATCACAGCGAACAGCAAACCCCCTTCTCGTTGCTTCCTGCGCGCGGGGGGCGCTGCCTGGGGGTGGCCTCGGCTGATTCCCTCCAGTCCATCGCCAGGCGCTCGCGCTGCTGCTGCGCTTTTGGCCCCGCCTCGTGTGCGGGCAATGTGCGCGCACGAGGCGCTCGCCGCAGCCTGTTGCGCCATGCCCTTTGGGTCTGAATCGCCCCGTGGCGCCTGGGGCGTCAGCGCAGGTGCCAGTTGGCGCCTGCGGCTTAACAATCCTGTTGGGGTGCGTAGCACGCGGGCGGGCCTGTTGGGCCGCAGGTGACAGGCTTGCTGTGGCTGCTGCGGCGCTCCTGCCCCCATTGCTGCTGTCTGTGAGAGCCCATCCCTACCCTGGCTGCGCCGCGAGCCTCAAACCTCCATCCTGTTTCCATACCATATGCACGCACGACCAGCTCGGATTCATGCCTCCGCTGCCACCAGCCTGCCGCAGCGCCGCCGGCGCTGCCGCATGACACGGGGCGCGGGCCGCTGATATCTGGTCTCTCGCGGCGCTTCTCCGCCCTCAACCTCAAATGAACGACTGCAACGGCCGAGCCAAGGGCTGCGCACCACTTTTTAAGGCACGCAACCAGGCGCCTCGCGCTCCTTGTACGCGGGAGTTCTGCCGACGCCTCAGAACCTGGGAAATAGCAGAAATGCGCGGCGTTTTGCCCCTTTTGCCGCTGCCCGCGGCACCTGGGCGCGCCGCCCGGCTGGTTGGAGCTTAGCCCCTGCCTCGTCGCACACGCGCACTGCTATGGCTTGCATTTGGGACATGCAAGAACGCGAAGCAAAGATTAGGCTGATACTCTCAATATGTCCGCACCGACTAGACGGCGATGCTCCAGCTACACTGCACTACCTTTGAAACGGGTGCAAGGCGCACGGGCGCGTCAGTGCAACAAGCAAAGGCTTGATTCGAGCCGCGGCGCCCATGCCGCCGCCTGCGTCGCCTTTCCTCCGGAAACGACCTTTTCTTTTGGTGTTTGCAGGGGAACGAGTAGCGGCGTGTGGGGCTGCTGAAGGGGCAACGCCCATGCTACGCTGCCGCGCCTGCCCCGCGTGGCCACGAGGCGGGCGGTCTCCCCGCCCCCTCAGTCCCCATCGAGGCAGCCGTGGCAGTATGGGAGCAGCGTCGCCAACTTTGGCGCCGCCGCAGCAATTTTGAGCACGGGGTGCGCACTGCCTTGTCAATGGGGGGTGATTGTCAGGCCCGTACACATGCGCGCTTGCAGGGACACAGTCCGGGCTGTTAGAGGGCAGAGCTTTTTGAAATGTACCCATCACTTGCTATACAATACATCTTGATCTTCTCCACTGATCTTCGCAGATCTGCGTCAGTGCTTGCAACCACCAAGCAGCGGCAATCAAGCGCAGCTTTTGGTAGTGAGGGCCTCACCGCCGCCCCGCCCCTTGCCGCAGACTGCTTGCCGCGCCTGCCCACCAAGCAGTGCGCACAGGCGCCCGCCATTTTGACACACGGCCGGGGCTTTGCTGTACCCTTGTACCACTGTTGCCACCATTCCAGACTTGTCAGTCAGCCAGCCTTGGTCAGACCATTTGTTATGCCTCTTCACGATCAGCGTTGCAAACGCCGCAAACTGGGTTCGTTGGCTCCTCCAAATGCACATAGGCTTTCAAAGTGATTGAGCGGCGCAAGCCGCGGTGCCAAATCACAACTCCCAAAATTGAGCATTGAGTAACTAGTGGAGCACACGTTAGTGGCTGTGTGTGTGTATGTGGCTGTATGTGTGTGCGCGCATGTGAGTGTCCGCGCGCGCGCGCGCGCGTGTGTGTGTGTGTGTGTGTGTGTGTGTGTGTGTGTGTGTGTGTGCGCGCGCCTGTGCATTCGCATTTGCACTCATGCGTTAGTATGTATGCAAGCGCAAGCTGGATGCACGTGGCCCAAGGCAACATGTTGACTGTGCCTGATTACAAAACAAGCACGCCTGCGATGGGACAGCCAGGGTCCAAACCTGAAGCAAACTATTTTTGCTTGAGCATACGCGAACTCAGCACATCAGCCCAGGATAAAGAATAGATACATTCATAGCCGACAAAGGTTTAGAAGACAGTCACATTTTGCGCCTCCCGCTGACCCCACCGCGCCCCTGCGTTGCCTGGGTCAGCAGATCTACGCGCTCCCGGCGGCTCGCTCTGGCCCTGCGACCCCCTCCGCGCCGCCGTCGCCGACTGCCAGCGACTCCACGCCCCTCCTAACCTCCTCGGCCACCGCTGACCCCGCGTCCGCCGCCGCCGCCAGCC